GTGTTTACTATATAAATACACTTCAAACATACAGGGTGTCCCATTAAAAAAAGTTTATACCAATAACGGTGACATTTAGCAACTTATTACATTATTGATTATAATAAACAACAAAACTTGACTAAAAACCCTAAAATTTGCTTTTTAGTGAATGTTCTATCCAAAAATAGAAAAGTTATTGCCTGTCAAAAATGGGACAAAATAAATTGCTAATACTGTACATTATTCACATAAGACAACAAGTCACCAGTTAAGTTAGCTATCTAAAAACGAAACTATTCTAAAATTTATGCTAACATAATCAGTAATTTTATTTTACTAAACAATTCACATATAGGGTGACAATTTGAAAACGAACAGTATTTAATATTACCTCTACCGATGATAGCATGAAAATTTGGCGAAAGAAATACGTCAATTTACATATCAAGAGGCACAATTTTTTAAGGCATTTCTTGTCGTGTTACTTTCAACCCTTTGACCCCCAGGGCACCTACCCCTAAAATTTTAAATGCCAACCCCTATTTCTTTTACCATTTTTGTGTTCCTTATAAAATTCTCAAAAAAATAATGCAGTTTATGTAGAATTCCATAAGAAACACAAAAATGGTAAAAGAAATAGGGGTTGCTATTTAAAATTTAGGGGTAGGTGCCCTGGGGGTCAAGGGGTTGAAAGTAACACGACAACAAATGCTTCAAAAATTGTCCCCCTTGTATATATGTAAATTGACTTGTTTCGCCAAATTTTCATACTATCATCGGTAGAGGCAAGATTAAATACTGTGTTCGTTTTCAAATTGTCACCCTGTATAAGACAATCTAATTTTTCATAATAAACAAGATTTGGCGGTAACAGTGTAAATAGTAAAAAAGCAATTTTTGCAACAAGTAACTAAAATCAATTTTCTTGGGATGATGTTTTTCATCCCCAGATGAGGCATATCTAGATTATAAAACAGAACCGTTACAAAAAAGGCCCTAAAATATCTCATTTACGGGCTCAAATGAACTAGTAAAATTCTTATTTCTGTAGGATAGATATGCTAAAATTCTACTGATTTTTTAAATTTTTTAGTTTTGGTTTCTAATCTTTTTTAACTTCTTCCCATCTGCAAAATTTGAAGATATTAGTGGTACATAATTAAATAATTTATTAAAAAAAGTTTGTGTGGGTAGCATGTTTCTTCCTTACTACATAACCAAATCGAAATAGCACTTTTCGCTATAATTTTGCTTTTTGTTTTAAGAACCAAATGTTTTTGTTCTTTATATTCATTAAAATATTTCAATATTCGAAAAAATAAACATCTTTTGGACTTTGGTACAATTAGGCTAACCCATAATTTTTTTTCTGTAAAAAGTTTTTTTTCTGTTTCACGGGAAATAACTACAACTTTTGATTTTTAAATGGTACCCTCGGTATTTTTTTGCTTTATTCGATAGAAAATGACACTCTATATACATAGAGTGACATATCATATTATCATACTTTTGACATTTTTGTTTAAAAAAAGTCGTATTTTAAATTTCAATCTAGAGTAAGCCACTTTTGATTAAAATCCGGTATATTAAAATACCAAAAATACATTAAAAAATAATATTACTAATTTGCAACTATTGAAATAAAATTTAAGGCTTTTGAAATGTTTTTGAATCACCCTGAGATTTTCTTAAGCAAACGTATATTATTAATTAATATATTTCTGGGTATTTCCCCACTAGCACTGTGACAAAAACTATAAAATAAAATAGTTATTTAAAAAAAGAAAAATAGATTATTTTCCTGTTTATATTATATTTATATTATTATTATTCTTTTTCCGATATTTATTATTTATATTTTGATATAAAATCTAAAGGTATAGATATTATTTTTAATTAGATTTTTATTTATGTAAAAAAACTTAATTTATGTATAAACATACATATTTAAACCCGTAGTTAGTTCCTTAAATTTTATATAAACCTCTTTATTAGTTTCCTAATTCTTAAAAAATAGAAAAAATCTAGTACTGAACACGTTTGCAAACTTCTCTTAAAACACAAAGTAATATTTTCCCAAGTTAATAAATAGAAATTATAGATACGTATCACCTTAATGTTTTGCCATATTTTCCCTTACTTAATGTACAAACAATATGTAGTTTGGGTTGACTTGAAATCGATTAATTTAGAACTGATAGGCTTATCCGAATTTAAAATCCAACGTTCGCATATACCTGGATTTTTATATGGAAACCTAAACATATTTAAATTAGGATTGTCCCTCCTTGATAGTCTGCAATCGTAATATTGACATACATTGCCCGACATATTTTTAAAACACAAAAACTTAAATCAAAATATAATAATTCAAAATAATAAAGCAATATCTACAATTGAAAATATAAAAAATGAACACACCACGAAGCCTTCAAAACGAGGTGCGGGGGAATACGAAAAGCTTTGATAATACCGCGTATACCGGTAGAATTTGGCGTACGATTTGGCAACATAGACAAGCAAGGAATCGCTTTCTAACGTTGCTGCGCCTCGATGGATCCCGGCTCAAAAAGCCGGGCTCCTTTTTGGTTCGAAAAAATTTACACAGGATGGGTTTTCCATTGTGTTAACTATCATATTCTTTGCTACAAGCAATTAAGACAAAAATTCAGTCGTCTAATTTGAAAACGACGTTAAGCAGTGTGAGCATAGTGGTAATTATTATTTCTACAAAAACATCTCCCAGATAATAAATTTATAGCTGTGTCGATATCATAAACACAATTTTTGCATTTTGACTGAACGAATTCAATTTTGCGAATCTTCTTTATTTTGGTATTTATTTTGAACCTAAATGTGGGTGTTACATTGGATGCTTTTAGTAAATTCACGAGAGATATGGTTCCTAAGGTCGAAAATATCTATATTATTAAATCCATATAGGTAAAGAGACACACGGATTTGAAGGTTATAGAATATTTATTTATAGTTTTTTACTCTGTATTAGTTTTTTACTAATATTTTGTCGCTTTCTTAGATTTTTGTAAATGTTGAAATGAAAAGAACTTCAAGTATATGTAATATGCAGGGTTGTTCACCACATACGACACGGAGTATTGTAGCTAAACGATTAGATTTTTACAAATTGTAAGTTTTGGGTTCGATGAAGGACTATTAGAAGTAGAATTTAAAAATAATTTTACAAGATACAGAGTGTCCCAAATAAGTAAAAAATATCAAAGTTGTATTTTTTTAAATACAACACCCTGTATATTATTACATTTTTAATTTCTACGATTAAAATAAAGGTAAATTTGATTAAGGTTTATTATACTTAAACCTTACCGTTTTTTAAATATTTTCAATTTTGTGAAATTGCAGTAAAATTTTTAAGGCTTCATTTCTCCAAGGGTATCAAAGTTTTTAATACTAAATATTTACTGAAGTTTATTTATTGATCAGTTATTCTGTTACAATAATAAAAATAATACTACCTTATACAGAGTGTCTAAAAATTTATTTAAATAATTTCTAGCTTTAAACGCCATTAACTTCTTTAATTTAAATGGAACGCCCTGTATATTTTATGAGAATCAGATGCACTATTTAATTGTCTATCAAATTGTATTATACCATTTTTAACTATCCCTTCAAGTTTTCGTAGAAAATGCATTTTCTTGTAATTTAGACCTCATATACCCATGGAATATTGACATTTTAGATTGTTTTTAAAGCAACAAATGTACAAAATGTACAGGCTAGTAACATTATCGTTTTTAGCAAAACCATAATATTACTTGCCCATTTGTATGCAAAAAGAAAACTATTTAAATCTGTATAAAAGTGTATACCACTAATTAAATATAACACCATTATTTCCGCCCATATACTAATTAATTACATACTTAATTGTGTTCGTTAATAATTCGTTCTAAATAAATGTGGATTTGAGTCAGAAATCAATATAATAAAAAGTTATCAAAATAAACGTCTCTGTTGTTATAAATAAGCATTTATTAAAAAATGAAATATCATTTTTAAGGTGTTACTTTTTACCACACTGTCTAATACACATACAAAACTCAGTTTTTTAGTATTTGGGGCAATTATTATTAATCAACGCAAACAGTCAGTTAATGTAGTTTCAATACTGGAATCATATTAATTGGTCCTCTTTAACAAATATTTAAACAGTTTTTTTTTATTTTTTAATGAAATCCCAAATAAGAATCGACAATATTAGTATCTATACTTTCAAAAAATTTGGTACATCTTTAAACATATTCTAAAATGTCAATATTCCACGGGTATATTGATAAATAAGTTCTAAATTACAAGAAAATGCATTTTCTACGGAAATTTAAAGAGATAGGTAAAAAATGGTATAATACAATTTGATAGACAATTAAATTGTGCATCTGATTCTCATAAAATATACAGGGTGTTCCATTTAAATTAAACAGGTTATTGCCGTTTAAAGCTAATAATTATTTAAAATAAATTTTTATACACTCTGTATAAGGTAGTATTATTTTTATTATTGCAACACAATAACTGATCAATAAATAAACTTCAGTAAATATTTAGTATTGAAAACTTTGATACCCTTGGAGAAATGAAGCCTTAAAAATTTTACTGCAATTTCACAAAATTGAAAATATTTAAAAAACGGTAAGGTTTAAGTATAATAAACCTTAATCAAATTTATCTATTTTAATCGTAGAATTTTTTCTACGATTTTTTTACTTATTTGGGACACTCTGTATCTTGTAAAATTATTTTTAAATTGTACTTCTAATAGTCCTTCATCGAACCCAAAACTTACAATTTGTAAAAATCTCATCGTTTAGTTACAATACTCCGTGTCGTATGTGGTGAACAACCCTGTATAAGTAAATTTATTTATATCTGATTTAGTTGGCGTGTTCTCTTTCGTATATTCGTATTTTGTAGAGCTGAAATGTTAAGAGTATTTTATTCTTACACTGACCCCAGATGACATTAATTTATCCTTTTAGATTTAAATCCAGATGGGCCTGAAAGATATTTGGAATTTATGTTAAAAATGTGCTGTAAGCAACATGCGAAAGTATTTCAAGTAGAAGGTAATGAATTAGAAGATATTCAAAGGTCCGCCGATAATGCACTCTATATGTTAACCACATCAATGCCTGAATTAGAAGATGTTTTATGGGACTTATTCTTAAACTGTTTTTTGACTTCGTTATACGATAACGCCATTGTTATTTTATTAAGATGTCTGACTCATATCGCCTCAAGAAAAGAAAGTAAACCAAATTGTGAGGCGGCTTTTGTGCGGTGCATAGTGTTACTATCAAATCCAACGCCGTCTTTGAGAGGAACATACATTGTAAACTTCTTAAAAAACATTACTCTGTATGACACCCAGTCCTGCAGAAATGTGTGGGATGCAAAAATACCACAGCTTTTAAAATATTTGGAACAAACGTATGATACTTTGAATCTTGTGGAATGGCAAGATTTATTGTTTAGTTTCATAAATCTTTTACTGGAAAGTATCAATAATGAAGCTTTTAATAATATACTTTTAGTAAAGGCAAAAAGTTTATTAGAGCTTTATGGTAGTGCTCGGTAAGTTTTTTATTCAAGGATATTTTAAGTATTATACAGGGTTGTTCACCACATACGACACGGAATATTGTAGCTAAACGATTAGATTTTTATAAATTGTAAGTTTTGGGTTTGTTGAAGGACTATTAGAGCTACAATTTAAAAATAGTTTTACAAGATACAGAGTGTACCAAATAAATAAAAAATATCAAAGTTGTATTTTTTTAAATGGAACGCCCTGTATATTATTACATTTTTAGTTTCTACGATTGAAATAAAGGTAAATTTGATTAAGGTTTATCACACTTAAACCTTACCGTTTTTTAAATATTTTCAATTTTATGAAATTGCAGTAAAAATTTTAAGGCTTCATTTCTCCAAGGGTATCAAAGTTTTTAATACTAAATATTTACTGACGATTTTTGATCAAATATTGTGTTGCAATAATAAAAATTTTACTACCTTATACAGAGTGTCCAAAAATGTATATTAAATAATTACTAGCTTTAAACGGCAATAACTTGTTTAATTTAAATAGAACACCCTATATATTTTAGGTGAATCAGATGCACAATATAATTGTCTATCAAATTGTATTATACCATTTTTACCCATCTCTTCAAGTTTTCGTAGAAAATGCATTTTCTTATAATTTAGACCTCATTTATCACTCTACCCATGGAATATTGACATTTCAGATTTTTTTAAAGCAACATATATGTACAAAATGTATTGCAAGCCCATTGGTATACAAAAAAAAAATTAAATCTTTGTGAAAGAGTATACCAATTAAATATACATATCCATTATTTCCGACCAAAAATTAGTTTTAGTTTAATTAATAAAGTATGAACATAAATGTGGGTGTCAATTTGGCTCAGAATCAATATAATAATAAGTTATGAAGATGAACGTTTCTGTTTTTATAAATAAGCATTCGTCAAAAAATGAAATAAAATGTATAAAGTGTTACTTTTTACCACACTGTCTAATACACACACAAAATTCAGTTTTTGAGTATTTGGAGCAAATATTATTAATCAACGTAAACAGTCAATTAATGTAGTTTGAATGCCGGGATCATATTAATTGGTCCTTGTTAACAAAAAATTTTTAAACAGTTTTTTTTTATTTTTTAATGAAATAAGCGAACTATATCGACAATATTAGTATCTGTACTCTTTGAAAATTTGTTACATCTTTAAAAATAATCTAAAATGTCAATATTTCATGGGTATAGTGATAAATGAGGTCTAAATTATAAGAAAATGCATTTTCTACAAAAACTTGAAGAGATAGGTAAAAAATGGTATAATACAATTTGATAGACAATTACATTGTGCATGTGATTCATGTAAAATATATAGGGTGTTCCATTTAAATTAAACAAGTTATTGCCGTTTAAAGCTAGTAATTATTTAATATAAATTTTTGAACACTCTGTATAAGGTAGTAAATTTTTTATTATAGCAACACAATAACTGATCAATAAATAATCTTCAGTAAATATTTAGTATTAAAAACTTTGATACCCTTGGAGAAATAAAGCCTTAAAATTTTTAGTGCAGTTTCATAAAATTGAAAATATTTCAAAAACGGTAAGGTTTAAGTGTGATAAACCTTAGTCAAATTAACCTTTATTTCAATCGTAGAATCTAAAGATAGAATAATATACAGGGTGTTCCATTTAAAAAAATACAACTATAATATTTTTAACTTATTTGGGACATTCTGTATCTTGTAAAAATATTTTTAAATTGTAGCTCTAATAGTCCTTCAACGAACCCAGAACTTACAATTTGTAAAAATCTAATCGTTTAGCTACCATACTCCGTGTCGTATGTGGTGAACAACCCTGTATATTTTAATTTTTTTTCAATATGATATTAGGCAATATGTAAATTCTTTTACCTCGGTATTTTGTGAATATCGCTACTAAAATAAATTATTTAACTATAACGTAAAAACATTATGGCGCAGTCAGACGACTCATGTACTTGATAAACATTAGTATGTACAGGGTGGGTCAAATTCAACGCTTTTAAATGGAAACACCCTTTTCTATAGGAGATAGACAAAAACTAATATCGGTGTCTGGAGCTCAATTTTTGGAAAAAAAATGATGGTGAAAACCGCATATCGATGTTATGTTACCGTTTCGGAGTTACGGGGTGTTTTTCAAAAATATGCATTTTTAACAAATCGCTGTAACTTTTTTGCTATGGAAAATTTTGTATTTTTATGAAAACATTTCCAAAGCATCTTTTTACGTAGAATTTAATGGTTTAAGTATAATTTTTTAAAAATTAATAATTTAAGAATTATCAACAGAAAAAATAATTTTTTATATGGGATACCCTGTATATTTTTAATTTATTGAAAATAATTTAAAATTACCTTTCCAAAAATATAACACACTTGATATTTTGCTCGATTCCTCTTCGAGATATAGAATATATAAAAATTCGCCCGCTTTAAATAAGCAGGCTTTGAACGGCACCGGCTGTAATGCAAAAAAATTCTAGCTGTGAGCATCAATTAAAACGAAAATAATATTTGCTATGAGAGATGCATAATTTTATAACAATTTAAAATATATTTAACCAACATCAACACATTTAAACTATATCTAATAACAATAAAAATAAGTAGCAAACCAAGACATGAGATTTTGCTACATGTGTTCGACATATCGACTGTCTTCTGTTATGGACAGACGGGACCGTTTTTGAACATTCATCGCGGAATTCATTAACTCAGTGGGGGTGAAACTGCTAAGTATTTCTAATTCTTGTCTAGATTATACGGAAGAATAAGGAATCTTTATTCTTCGGCAAATATATCCATAGGATTAGATCCATGGGCACTAAGTCAGGCGGCTTCAACGGCCAACGGCTGGGATCTTGGTTAGCTATACAATTATTATTCTTGAAATTGGCTGCAAAAATTTATCTGATAATTTCAGCGTTCAGAGGCGGTGCGTCGTCTTGCTGGAAAAATATATTTTCGAGTTCCATTAAGGGCATATCATCAATATGGGGTCCGAAGCCTACAAGTTAAAAGTGGCGAACTTTTAAAAATTCTGTATTTCGAAGGGGATTAATGCTCACCATAGATTTAGTAAGAACAGATATCACATTAGACATTTTAACCCGATCAAACGATCGGAGGTTGACTACGTACTGTAAAAACCAACTGAGATAGAGAAGGCGACATTGCCACATCTCAAATTTGCGCCTATCTACTTAGTTTAATTTGCAGAAAAGGTGACTTTAAAACCTTTACCGGATATCAATAAATCTCAATTTCTTAATTAAATTAATAGTTTATTTTTAAAGAAGCATGCGTAATAATATGTTATTAACCAGAGGATATATGCGTTACTATTAAAGGACATGTTTACTGTTTAATGTGCTGAAACGTCTAGAACTATTGGCAACATCGCTGCTAGTCTTCCAGAATGAAATGAGCCGTCCGTCCCACCACCCCTCGCGACGGCCCTTGGTCCGTTATAGCGTACTACGTTTAGCTTACGGTATGTTTGAAGTCGGAATCAAGTCTGAAGTGAACTTTTCAGTGTTTTTCAGTAGTTTTTGCTTTTGTTTAACGTACTTTTGAATCTGCGAATTTTCAATATGGTACGACAGTGTCAAATGTGTGGAAAATAAGCTCAAATTACCCGAATTTGTCTCTTCACAGGTAGGTATTGTTTCCGCCGCGCCGTAATCGCTGATACATAGGCGTCCCACAAAGGAGCCTCTCACAATTAAAAATAATTTTAATTATATTTGTTGAATTTTGAGCTATTAAAACAAGAACGTAGTAGCCGGTAATTGAATTATAATTCGTCTCAATTACTACTTAACTGTTGTAGATCATAACAAATTTGAATATAAACGTTGCATTTGAAACTTTATTATAAGCCAGAAAGTGATATTTTTTTTCTTAAAATTGCATCATATTTTGGTCATTTATATACGATATTCTAAAGGAATTTTGCTCAACATATAAACAAAGGTGTTTACCCGCCCTTTTTTACATTTTATTGCATTATTATATCTGCCCCTTCGGCCTCGTTTAAACAATTTTTTACCACCGTACAAATACCTCTTCCTAGAGTTATTTGTACGGTGTGTTTATCTTTTTTTTTAGAATGGGACGAACTGGAAATAATTCTTAGGCTACTAGTTTTATACATACCTATATATAGAGTGACCCAGGCCTCCAAAAAAGCTTTTTACCTATTACGTTTTAGGTTTGTAATTTTTATTTCAATTTTTTACATAAGATGGGGGCCATTGTAACGCACATTTTCAAAATATTTTTGTCAACATACAGGGTGATTATCGGGGTGATTCAAACCGCAATACATATGCTTTATACAGTTCATGAAGATTGGGACATTTAACTAAAATTTGATTGTCTGATGAAGCTACCTTTAAAAGTAATGGATTTGTAAATAAACGTAATATTCATTATTATGCGACAGAAATCCCATACTGTAGCACACAGATTTGATACTTTTAATGATAAATTGCCTTCTAACAACAAATGCCTTCTATTGAGAGACTAAAAGGTAATTGCCTCGTATCAGAGCCATCATAATCAAGAAGAAGACCGAAAGAGTCAAATCTTGTCTTATATTTTCAAAAAACACAATTTTCTCATTAAATATTGATTTTAGGTATAGGAAACGTTATTAATAATACAAGATTAAACAACTATTACATAGTACTTTACAGGAAGCTATCGATTGCGAACTAACTAAATCGTTACTAATTGCTAATTTTAAAAGTTCTTTTAAGATCAAAAAAGGTAAAACTAAAACCTAAATTATCATTTGAGATTAAACGGAAGTTCTAAATAATGTTGCCTATTCTAAACAAGAAAAATTTATTTATAAGTTTTATAACATCTCTAATTAAATTTGGACGAAAATAACATTTCTGTTTGCTGTAGATAATTTTCTCAGGGAAAATACGTAAATAAAAATGACTTTTTAAGTAAAAAAAATTCAAAAG